GCTTCCATCTTGGGCTCTCGTTCTGATCACTTGTTCTGGGGGAAGCCAGGTATCCTGCTGTAAGGACCCATGTGGAGAAGAAAGAACATATCCGGTCAACAGCCAGGGAGGAACTGAAGCTTGCTAACAATGATGAGGGAGAAGTAGGCTTCCCGCAGAGCAGGAAGCCTGATATGGGGCTTGATCCCCGGACCCTGGGATCATGATCTGAGCCGAAGGCAGATGCTTAACTGACTGAGCCACCCCAGGCACCCTGAGGATGCCAAAACTTTTGATGTGCATGCAAAATATAAGGGCCACCTTTGATAAGGTTCACCTTTGTGGTTAAGCCTCAGTTCCTCATCTGAATAATGAGACTAATAATGCTGTATTATATATTTGAAAGTTGCTAAGAGAGTAGATCTTAAAAGTTCTTATCACAAAAAAAAACTATTTGAGGAGGCAGATGTTAACTTATTGTGGTAATCATTTCACATATATACATATATCAAATCATTGTGTTAATACAATGTTATATGCAAATTATTTCTCAAAAAAAAAAAAAAGAGTCTGGATGTCTGGCCCTAAGCCTATTAATATTTTTGAGCATGAGGGAGCAGGACATGCAGAGGTGGAGGAAAGCCACAACTTAACATTCTGAACTCTATTCACTGTTCATGGCTCTTTTGTTTGGCAACTCCAGGCATCAGAATGATGATAGCCCCTACTGCTAGTTGTCTCCCAGGATTTTACTCTTCTTGGTAACATAAATCCTGATTTTTAGCTGCACACCTGTGGCCACCTCAAATTAAGATGAAATTTTTTCAGTCTTTTTTTGTAGCTAGATGTGGTCATATGGGTAAAATGAAATGTGACTTCTAGGAGATGTCTTTAAAGAGAGAGGCATGCTCCTTTTTGACCCTTTTCCCTCCTTGCTGACAAGAAAACAGTTGTGATGTCTAGAACTTGGGCAGCCATCTTGGGCTTCGAGGTAGAAGCTGCTTACTAAGAATGACACAGTACGGATGCCTGAGTGGCTCGGTCGGTTAGGCGTCTGACTCTTGGTTTCAGCTCAGGTCATCTCAGGTTTGTGGGATTGAGCTCCCAGGTTCATGGGATTGAGCCCCCTGTTGGGCCCCGCACTCAGCGGGGAGTCTGCTTCTCTCCCTCTCCCTTTGCCCCTCCCCCTGCTTGCATGCTCTCTCTAAAATAAATAAATAAATCTTAAAAAAAAAAGGATGACAGAGTGATACTAAAAGAGGCCTGGGTTAGAGGGAGCTACCCTTGACTTTGAAGGGAGTTTGTGTACAAAAGAGAGAAATAAGCTCCTAAATTGTGTAAGTCACTCAAATTATTTTTGACATGCATATTTTTTCAGCTTCATTGAGGTAAAATTGACAGATAAAATTGTAAGATAGTTGAAGTGCACAACATTATAATTCGATATATGTATACATTATGAAAGGTTTTTCCCATTGAGTCAATTAACATATCCATCACTTCACATAGTTTCCTTTTTTTTTTTTTTTAAACCCAAGATTCTTGGTGTCTCAGGTTTCTGAGTGCAGTAATATATTTGAAAAGAATCCAGGACCTTGGACACTACTCACTTTTTTCTGCTGGTAGCTGTTGTCACAAGTGAAGCAAACATAAATCACGGTATATTTATATTATAGAAGGACTTTTCTCCAAAGCATCATTCAAGATCTACCTTCTTTATGAGGCCTTCCCTGGTCGTTAGGTCTGTAGTGGATCCCTGCTCTCTGAGTACCCAAAACACATTGCTTTTAAATATGGTCTCCAAGAATCTGTCTGCTTTGTGTCTTAAATTAGATTGTAATCTCTCAGAGGGCAGGGCGTGTACCCAAAGATTCCTCATAATAGTGAGCATTGTACTGGGCACAGAAGGAGATGAACCAAAGTGCTTCTTAAAATAAAAGGAAAGGTTCTATTTGGAATATGAGACAAGGCAAGACTCCTCGGGATTATACAGAAACACAGATATTCTTGAAACGGTCATTTCGAGCTAATACTAAATATTTGAGGCCTTCAGGCCTCAATATGGGATATAAAGTATTACTTTTCTTCTACTGAAATATCCCCTTGCAAATAGAAGTCCCACAGGACAAGGAGTATGGCTGGAACTGGACAGACCAGATGCCAGAATAGCTAGATTTATTTTTGGACCATAAGCCTGGGCTCCAGGGAAAGACAGAACTTGTCAATTTCACTTTTTGGTTGGATCAGAAGATCGAGCCTGGCAGAGAGACGCTGTTTGGGCCTAGTAGTTCTCTGGAATTTCTAACCTTCTCTGGGGTTGGGAGGGATCGGGAGAAGAAAATGCATCATTTGAATGATGGCCATGGTTACAACAGGCCCTGCATGCCAACCAGAGGGAAAGAAAATACTTGCTGAGCAAAGTAACTGGAAAGCAGTTGCTCATATTTTAAACTAAGCTACGTGGTCGAAATCCAGAAAATGTAGACTTTTGGACCAGCGACCAGTTGGAAATAGGCTTTCTGGCTGGAAAGCAGCATGCGGTGTTATGGATGGAAAGGACGGTTGCGATGCCTTTTCCCTGGGTGCACTGAGCTGCCAGATACTGGGGGGCCATCACAAGCATATTTACTTACTCCAGCAGATTTCTCAATAATTCCAGCAACAGAAGGAAGTTGACCAGCTTGACGATGCGCACGTGGCCAGGTGGTGGAGTCAGGACAGACCTGTCAGGCTGCTGAGCCTGATGATAACATTTCCATCCTGCTGATCCCTGGTGGGTGAACACACAGGGCACACGGAAATTAATATAAGCACCACATGAGGCGCAGTAGTACTGGGCCAGTGTCACAAGTCCAGCTGGGCGAATTCCCAGCATGCCGGATCCTAGGAGCAGTTTCCATGCTCTTTCCTGCAGCTCAGTGAAGCTCCCAAGTCTCATTTTGCAGGTCACTGCAGAGATCACCCACACAGCACACAGGGAGCACCTAACTCTAAGGCATTTGAGACTGGACACTGTAGTCATCACACGACAGAGGCGGAATTAGAATCTGAAAACCTGGCCTTGAATCTGGGATGTCATTTACCAGCCAAATGAGGCAAGGAAGTCACAATCTCGTGGAGTATCCATTTACTTACCTGTAAAGTTGGATCTATCTCTCTACTTCTCAAGATCATTCTGAGGATAAAATGAGATGAGGCATTTGCCTTGCCTTCTTCTTATGCCAGAGGTGATATTTCCAGCTTAACCGTCTCCTTTAATCCTGAGCACTCAGGAAGTGGGGACTATTTTTATCCCCATTTTACAGAGGGAAAGACTGGACCCTGACAAGTAAAGTGACTTGTGCACGGTTATGCCACTAGGTGGCAGACCCAGGATTTGAACCCATCCTGTCTAGCTCCAGAAAGCAGTCTGACCACTGTGTTACTTCTCGGCAGAGGAAGAGAGGCAGTTCCCTTAGAGATGTTCTTCGTTTTTGTTTGGAGAACCACAAGTACTTTGTTATTGTTCCAGCATCCAGTCTGGGCTATCTTATCGGAGGGCACCGGGGAGAGTTTAAGTCTATTAAGTAGGGAGCAGTACATTCAGGTTTGCTCTTTAGAAGGATGTAGGGCTGAGGCTGGATGGGGCAGGGAAGGGGTGTGGGCAAAGCTGAATGCAGGAGTTGGGTGGGAAGCATGTTCACACAGTCCTGAAGAGAAGGCATAAGGGAGCAGAACTAACCTTTGATAGGACCCCTCAGGCACAGACAGGGGGGAGGAATTAAGCACTACTGGTGCTGCTTCCAGTCTGGTTGGAGAAAGAATTCCCTCCTCCTGAAGTGAGTGGTCCGTACCAATGGAAGTAAACACTAAGGGTTGTACTCCACATAAAAAGAGAAACCATGGTTTTCTCGGGTTGAATGCAGTGGATCATCTTGCTCTGGCCCAGGGGCTGGTGTGATGCAGCTGTGACCATTCCCAAGCTGGCCATTTGGAGACCGTCCTGAGCAGAGCCCTCCTACATCCGGCTGGACCTTTTGTTGCGCTATCATCTCCAAGTGGGTTGGGCACCCAGGGGAGGTCCCCTCCCCCCAATCTGACCCAGCTGTGGGGTCTTTGCACCCACAGACTAGCCCTCCCCATCAACACTTTTCTTCCACTCCCCCAATAGGAGACCAGGTCCCCTCTGACCTCCTCTCCCAGAATTCCTAGGCCACAGAGTGGCTGCCCCTTGGCCCTCCAGTCCAAGGCAGGGAGCCGGGATGCCTGGGTCCCAATCCTGGATCCACTGCAGGGTTCCAGGTGGGCATTACCCCATACCCACAGGGGCCCTCCCCAGCGGGCAAATGCCTAGCACGTGCTTCACCTTATCTCCTCGGCACTTCTCCTGGAGGAAATGCTGTAGGACTTGGGTTGTCATCCTCTGGAAGCTTCTTTGAAAGAAGTGAATGCATCCACTCCTCACTCCCAACGCCAGTCACAGCCTGCCCTGTGCAGGTCACTTTCTCAGTTGTTTTTGGTGTCGATGCAGCGGGAAAGCCGATTTCTTAACTCCTTTGAGCCTAGTATACTCTTCAGAAAAATGGGGCTACAAGTATTTTTCCTGCTTATTTTGCTGGACTGTTGGGACAACTCGAGGACTTATGTTGAAAATTACACATGCTTAGGGCATGATCTTCAGCCGGGTGGGCATTCCGGGAGTTAGGGCTGCTGGAGCTCTTCGAGGCTTCCTCAGACAGAAGGGCCGAGAGAAAGTCCCTCTTCCAGTCTCTCCGGGAGCCCACTCAGGCTGGGCAAGCGGGTGTCGCTTCTCAGTGGGCTTGATCGCGAGCCGCCCCTCCGTCAGCTCTCCGATTGGCTTTCACCTGCCAGAGGGTCTGCTGCTACGGGCCCCTCGGCCCGTCAATCAGGACCGCCCGGCTCCGCCCCGCCCCTCCCGGGGGTTTATAACGGGAATTCCCATGGCCCGGGCTTTGGCGTCCAACCTGCTGCCGCCGCGGCCCGGCCGAGCCGAGCTGAGCCGAGCGAGCGAGCGAGCGAGCGAGCGCCGCGCGCAGAGCACACGCTCGCGCTCCAGCTCCCCTCCCTGGCCGTTCATGACCACGCGCTCTGAGCTCAGCCCCGCCACCCCCGCCGCCCCGCCGCCCGCCGCCGCGAGGGCCCCCCGAGGGAAGGAAGGCAGGCGCGGCCGTGAGTCCCGCGGAATCCGCACCCCCCGGCCCGCAACCGGCTGCCCGGCCCGGCTGGCACCATGCTGCCCGCGCGCTGCGCCCGCCTGCTCACGCCCCACTTGCTGCTCGTGTTGGTGCAGCTGTCCCTAGCTCGCGGCCACCGCACCACGGGCCCCAGGGTAAGTGCTCCCCCGGCCGCGCGCCCACCTGCGGAGGGAGACTGAGGTCGCCTGCCCACATCCCTCGGGGCAGGGGGAGGGGGAAGGGAGGTGTCAGACCTCGGGGCTCCCCCCCACCCCCCCCGCATCTACCACCCGGTCCCCGCGGGCTTCTGGGCGAATAACAATTTCTCCCGTTCTACCCCCACCCTCATCCTTTCTTGCAGCGCCGACTCTGCCTCCCGCCTCTCCCCCACCCCCCACCCCGAGCTGTCACTGTTGGGTTTTCTTTCCCCGTCTCTTCTCCCAGCTATTTTGCTCCAAGCGGGTGCCTCCAGCGTCCGCAAAAGGCTCGCTCTCCGCTCGAGTGAGCTGCTCTGTAGTCTCACACTGCGCCCGGTCCGGGTCCCGGAGCGCCGGGCGTTCTTGGCAGGCGGCGGGGGGTGGGGAGGGGCAGCTCTGCCTCCAGAGTTTTAGGTTACCCGAGAGCCACACAAGGACCTTGTGTTGTTGTTGTTTTAAAAAGCGATCGCTGCTCGTAAAACCCACAGCAGATAATTTTAATGATCTCTCCTGCTGGGCACAGCCCCGGAGGAGCGGTGGAGGTGGGGGGCTGTGGAGAGGAGCTGCGCAGTGTTCAAGAGTCTCTTCCCCCTGACTTCGGGGCTGGCGGGTTGAACTACTTGTTGAACCTTGGTCTGATTGGAGTTTCTGAACGATATGAAACGTGCCAATTGTGTGCACAGGACAGGCTGTCCAGAGCATTGTAAAAATCTCCTGGAACTGAAGGCATTGTGCTCATCTCTGCTCTAGATGATTGCTCTTCCCATCCCAATTGGTCTCAATGAAGGATTCCGCTGCCTTAAAAAATGTGCTATTAAACCACCTGGTGGCTCATTTGACCAAACTTAATCCAGAGGATCTCTGGCCAAGAATCAGCTTATGTCAGGGCAGTCTCGGGATAGCTGCTTGCCTCAACTGGCAGCCTGAGAGTCCGCGTGCTGCAGCTGGAATCTTTGTGAAAACAAGGTTGGCTCCTTAAGCCCCGGGGGCTTTCCTGGATATCTCCGGGCCTACCCCCCTTACCACCTGTTCAGGCTGCAGGTTCTTTATTCGCAGCTCCTGCTATATGAGACTCCTCTATAGCTGTCGTGTGTGGAGGAAAAGCCTTGCAAAGGTTGGCCAGCCTTCGTGACTGCCCAGATGCTGGCTGCTGACGTGGGAGCCCAGCTATCACTGTGAGATCAGATTTGCAGCCACTTAGGAAAGAAAAGTGTTTGTCCCCATGTTGTGCCGGCCCTCGCTTTTATGACCAGATGTGCCACAGCAGCAGTTAAGGTGCCGCAGATTAGATCCAGGGCGTGTTGTAAATCCTCGACAGCAGGCGTTCCTGAAGCTGGGGCAAGTGTGGGCTCCGGGAGGGACTTTTATGGATGCAGATGAGGATGCCTTTTAAATGAAGCTGCTTGGTTTGATATTAGGACTCGCAGCTCTTAAACTCCGAGGTCAGGAGAGCCACAGCGTTCCCTCCAATAATTAGGAACAGTCAAGACAGAGACGCAGACCAGAGCACCCCGACTGAAATCTGGATGCCCGCCCACACGAGAGGCCCGGAGACAAATGGTGGGGGGCTCGTTTGCTGCTGGGCATGTCTAGCATCTCAAGCCATATGGCTTTCCTTCTCTGCCTCCTGAAATTGGAGGAAGCAACTTTTAGGGGAAAGCTAGGGGTTTCAGGGAAAAATAGGGACATTGGTTAGGTTTCCCTCCAGCTTATTTAGTTTAATCATTTGATAGATGTGATGAAATAAAACAGGAACTGTAAATAGGCTTGTGTGGATCCCAGCTGCATTCTCTCTCTCTCTTTCTTACACACACACGCACACACACACACACGTGTTTGAAAAGTACCCAGGGAAAGCTGTTGTCTTGAGCGTGTGGTTACTTGGGTGCATTTATAGGCGACAAGAAGAGCTGCCTTTCAGGAACCCAGGGGCTGGGCAATTTCCATGATCGCCTATGCTTAGAAGAACAAGGAGGGGGGTCTTTTTATTGCCATTCTGCAAGTGAGACTCAGGGAAACTAACTGGCTTGCTTGAAACACTCATGGTGCATATGTAGCTGTGGGAGCCAAATCCCAGTTTATATGGATTTACAGGTGGTGTGCTCTCCCTGCTCCCGAGTAGCTGCAGGGTGTGCTCATCCCACCAGTGGTGCCGGTCCTCGATGAGACAGTACTGATCCCGGATGCATCAGGGGAGGCTGTAAGAAAGCGTTGATACTGTTTTTTGGTGTCTGAATCGCTAAAGGGTGATGTCTTTGAGTTTCAGCCTATCCCCAAAGACTCCAGCGCTCCTCTGTGGCTTCTTGGTGGCCTGAGGTGTGTGGCTCTGGTTGCCAGTGGCAGTGTCAGAGGAGGAGCAGAAACATCTGGTTTGTCGCAGGATTCCCTTGGGCACCCCTGGGTCTCTCCTGTTAATCTTCTGAGTGACAGAGGCTTAAGGATTGGCATCTTTTCCAGCTGACTTTCTAGGAAACCGAGAGCATGCCCTTTTGGTTTAACTTTATCTGGCTCACTAATTGAGCTCCCCCGAGGCCTAGACCCCAATCCTCGCTCCCTTATTTGCTTCCTGCCTTCATAAAATTCCTGACATCTGTTTGACTCTGGAAACCAGCAGCTATCAAGTATCAGATTGGAGGCTATTATGTAGGAAGCACCTGATTTTTTGGTCTCCGAGTTCTGAGCAGCCACTTGGCTACCTGGGACGCGGTCAGGATCCTTTTAATTACCGAGGAGGCAGCCATTTCTTTAATCCTGTACAATTTACTGAAAATGTTTCAGGGGAGGATGGGGTGGGGGAGGGGCTCTCCCAGGCTGATGGAGTCTGGCTGATGGTCAGGCCAAGTCAACTGCCTGTCTTTGTCTAATCCTCTGTCTGCCCTGGAAGCCCAGGAGCTGGGTGACGGCGGGAATGGGGCCCATCTTCTTTACCGGTGCATCCCCAGAGCTCAGCACAGGGCCAGGTGCCTGGTGGGGATGGACTTTGTTGTTGTTTGCAGAAAAAAATAAATTAATGCAGACAATGCATTCTATGGGTTCCACTTTCTTAGTGCTTTAGCACGACTTGAGGCCGGAAATAGATTTAAGAAGTTTGAAAATAGGAGAAAATGGGAAGGTCAAGAACTTTGAGTAAGCAATTTGGTTTCTTTTATGTCTATTCTTTATTGGTTCTTTCTCCTCTCGCTGGCTTCAAAACCCAGCTCCTGCACCACTCCCCAGGAACTTTCCAGCAAAACACCCTTTTGGGGAGAATTGGTCACTCTCACCTTCGACCAACTCCTGTATCTGGTTTACTTACCTTCTAACTTTTGCTGATATTTCTGTAACGAGCATCTCGAGATCAGGCCAGCATCTCCACCTTCTCAGCACTAACTTGCCCCCTTGGACATCACGCACAACCCTGTCTTGTGAAATGAACAAACTCACACCCCCTTGCGGGCAGAATAGAGGTCTTATTTGTCAGTGTGCTGGGTCACACTGCAAAGCGTTCTGTAAATGTTTATTGAAACGGATCAGACTCTGCAGTGATGTCCAAGCTAGACCCTTTGCTCCCATTTAAACCTGAAATTGGTTACTTCACAAATAATGTTCCCCCCATTTATAGGCTTTTGTTCTTTGTTTAAAAATTAGTATGTGTGGTGGTTGTAGGAGGTTTGGGGGAGGAGAGACAGAGCAAGCAAACTGGGATGGGGAACAGGTGTGAAACAGCTTCTAGACAGTAGCCTTCCTTTTGACTAGTCTGCCTCAGTGTCTGGACTGGGGTGGGTCCTTGAGTCTGTGTAGACACCCTTCTTATTACCTGTGTGCCTGACAAGACCCTTCTTTTCCCCCCGGGGGATTTATCTGAAATGCTACTCAGGTGTTAGGCAAAAAACTTGGTTTAAACATTTTGATAGAACTGACATGTGAAATTTAAAGGCACGAAATTGAGAAGGACAGGAAGAGGAAATAATCATCTTAGAAACTGTAGGAAATGCTATCAAATGGAAAACACTTTGATATTTTCTCAATATCTCCCAAAGTTGAAATTCACATTTCTTATGGCCCAGCAGTTCCGGTCCTAAGTACATATGCCCAAGAGAAACTCATGTCCAGAAGGAGACCGGTGCAACCATGTTTGTAATACTCTAAGCCTGGAAAAAGCCAAATGCCCACTAGTTGGAGGGCAGATTAGTTGATGTATTCACATAGTAGAGGATTATAAGTAGGCAAAGCAAATGAGCAACAGTGACATGCAAAAAATATGGATGAATCTTGGTAATATGATATTAAGTAAAAGAAATACACCAAAAGATGGAGCATGTCATCTTATAAACTTAAAAAGAGCTAAAATTAAAAGAAAATATCTTCTAGGAATACATATAGCTACAATAACGCTCTATGAAAAGAAAAGCAAGGTAATGCTGGACACAGGATTTAGGGTGAAGTTATGGGGGAGCAGACGGGTGGAACCACATGGTGGGGTAAACCATATGGTTAGTGTAAGTTAGTGTCAATACTTTACCTTTTGGGGGAGGGAAGGATGGGTTAGAAGGTATTTGTCCATTAGTAAAGATTAGTGGTTGATTAAATGAAAAATGAAAGTGGGCCCTGCATAGACCAATGTTGAGTGTCATGAACCAAAGTTTCTGATTAATTCAATTCTTGGCACCACGTGGTCAAACAAAAGTTGCTAGAGCAGGGACTCCTGTCTTGCCTCCTTCTGCTCCCCATCTTCTAGATGTGCATGTGACCCTACCTAAAATACCACGTTGGGGAGTGATTATTGGCTTTTGTTTCAATTCTTGGCCGGCTAGACCCAGAGCAGGCCCAGGCCCTGGCATTAAATATCTACATCAGCTGGCCAAAGGGCTCATTTGTAAGGCTGAGTTGGCAGTGGGCAGTCTTCCCTCTCCCTTGCTCAGGGGGATCAACCCTGTACATCTGAGTCCCCAGCCCTGCAGAGTAGAAAAGTTCATTAG